GAGACCACATTCACGGTAAACGCTGCATATGTCATCTCAAACGGAAATTACCTTTACATTTCTATCACGCAACCTGTAACGCTTCCAGCGATACAGATTGAATAAAACCCTTAGTGGCTATTAAAGAGACCAGTATGTTCACCAGCTCTAACAGCACAGTTCCCCCTCACTCTGGGAATGTGCCCACCTTTCACTTTGGGCAGTGGCCCGCTCGCTCTGGGCACTGCCCCCCTCACTCTGTGGGCTCAGCATGTGGAGACACTCTGCCTCTAGGACAGGAGACGGGCCTCGTTCTCCTCCACAATTCATAGCAGATGGAAGCTGGCCGAATTGAAATTCATGAGCACCTGCATTGTATCGCTCCCTTTTGTCCCCTTCTACCCCTCATGTGCATTGACAGCTCCCTCCACTTTTCTCCTCCCTTGTTCCCATAAATAATCGGCTCAATTGCGATGTGACAGTCAAATGCGAACAACAACAGGCTGATGTCACCACTCCTCTCTCTGATGGAGGCTTTAATAAGCAAGTACCCCCCGCCACCCTCACGAGCTCCACTCGCAATTGAAGGTGAGTAATGATGTCTGATTGACAGTGCGTCACCTCCGTGGGGAGTCTGCAAGGTGAAGGGCAGGTCATCTGTCTGTCCTGACAGGCCACAAAGTGTGGACAGTAATGGAGGATTTGTGTTGCTTGAAAAACAGAGGAGGAGCCCAAAGTTGAATAAATCAAGACAACTTAAGTAAACAAAAAAATAAAGCAATTAATCTGAGTCCCTGCAGTCATGGGCAGGGTCAGTGTTAAAACACCAATAACTAAACCAGCACTCTGTGGAAACATTATGCATCTTAAATCAGACATTTTATTGAGGCTAAAGCAGTTCTGTTTTAAAATATCCTTCCCATACTTCAAATGAGGACTCTTTATTGACTGTTATTCTTTCACACTATGCTTGTTTTTCTCAGTCTCAAAGACTCAATACCACATCCTAATGACAACGATGAACAAAAAGAGATGTTTGAAGACATCATCTAGTGTTGCCCGCTTCTAAAAGAAACAGATATTGAACACTACGAGATGTTATTTAACACATTTATGTGCTCATAAATGAAAGATGCACCCCAAGCAGGTACGGAGCTATTAGTAGCCCTAATCATCTCACTGTTGCTATACTGAACACTCACTAATTAACTTCGCCCCACCCAACTCTTCCTGGACCATCTGTCAGAAGTGATAATACCATCCACTTAATTGCACTTGCAGTCTTAGCGATGCATTAGCTGCCTATAAACCCAGGTTTCTGGGGTCCATTCTATTCCTATATGGACCCCTTGATGGTCACCTCAGCCACAGCACACAGGTGTAGCTTTTATTGGTGCGCGTTTCCAGGGATTAATACAATTCCTCCCACAAACAACATTCAGGTGACATCATTGGCCTCTCAGATTCCAGGAAGGGAACAGAGGTGGCTTCTCATTTCCTGGTAAAGGACAGATGAGGCACTGTGTCCCAGGAAAGGCCTTTTCTCAAAATAGTGCCATTTGAAACGTTCACTTCCTCCCTTCTGCGGCAATTAGTCATCAGTTGACTTCACATATTTTGGTTCAAATACACAGGCCTGAAGGATAAAATAGCTCACACATGAATCAAAAACCCAACTCGTTCTTGCATCCTTCCATGTTTCCCTTCAGCAAATGATATACCGTAGGCACTAAAGGCTATTTCCATTTAACCCAACAGTCAAAGCTCTTAACAGGGAACAGGAGTTGTCCTACTGTGTGACTGATTTAAGCCTGTTGCATGGAGACAGCAATCCAGGTGATGCATCAGCCCATAGAAGGAAGCCAGAGGCAGACATTGGTATCAGGGTCTGTTGTGGTTGATGGATGGAGCTGGAGAGCCAGCCAAACCAAGCCATTCACACTGCAATAAATTCAATGTTTACAGCTGCCCACAGCTCTCTGCACTAGCGTACATTTTCTCTGGTGTCAGCAGCACATTATCATATTTAATCTCCCCCAGTAACCTGCACTAAATTGGTAGAAGATTTAAGTGGCCATCAGTCCATCTTTGTAAACATGATTTACATCATACACAACAAAATCAAGATATTTATGCACCTGTTTATTAAGTTATTTCAAACTGAAAGCTTTATTGATTTGTTTTTTTCTATAGCATTTTATTTAATGTAATCCTTTTACGATGACATAAGTGCTCTGCAAACCTTTATCAGAAGATCCCTGAAAACAAATGGGCCTCCTGTTAAAGCATGAAGAGGATCAGTTCATTACATGGCAGGCATGCACAATGAAAGTGCATGGTGTTTTCTAAAGCATATAATTCTGGTTCTTTTTCATAAGCATGGTTAACAACTAGAAATCTTTACAGTTGCGATCATACTTAAAATAAACGACATGTCATGAATGAGGAGAGGTACGTAAAAGACTGACTTAACCCTCACACACACACACAACATACAAGTACACAAGCATACACTACAGACATAAACATATGTACGCACAACTACAGCATGGATTTTAGTAAAAGGAACATTGCTGGTTTCTCTGATCGACACCAACTGCGGATATTGAGCTAAGAATAACGCTGTATTACAGGTTATGCAATGAAAAACCATTTGTACCTGAAAAGATTGATAGAAAATACATAGAATATTTCCACTAGTGGTTAAGCAGCCAATTGATTAAAGGTAAAAAAGCAAAGCTGACAAATTGAGAAACAGCAAAAACTGGCCAAGTAATATTCAATACAATGTATAGGTAATTTCATGTAGCAACTCCCCCTATCGACTATACTCAAAAATGGATCAAACATAAGCTTCCTTGTACAAAAAGAAAATAAAACAAATATGGTAATAAAAATAAAGAGTGCTGTGTAAATATATATTCATATTTATACATTTCAAACTGTATTTACAAGGATATTGTAGTTTGAATGAAATAACTGACCACTGCACCAACATATACAAGGTACATTGCCTTCAGAAAGTATTCACACCCCTTGACTTTTTAGACATTTTGTTGTGTTACAGCCTGAATTTAAAATATATTAATATTAGATTGTGTCACTGGCCTACACACAATACCCCATAATGTCAAAGTCGAATTATGTTTTTTGAAATTAATTTAAAATGAAAAGCTGAAATGTCTTGAATCAATAAGTATTCAGCCCCTTTGTTATGGCAAGCTTAAATACGTTCAGGAGTAAAAAATTAATTGTATGGACTCACTGTGTGCAATAACAGTATTAAACATGATTTATTTTATGTCTACCTCATCTCTGTAACCTACTCGACTGAGTAACCCCGGTCACTCAGTCGAGCAGTGAATGTCAAACACAGATTCAACCACAAATACCAGGGAGGTTTTCCAATGCCTCGCAAAGAAGGGCACCTATTGGTAGATGGGTAAAAAAAAAAAAAAGGAGACATTGAATATCCCTTTGAGCATGGTGAAGTTGTTAATTACACTTTGGATTGTATATCAATACACACAGTCACTACAAATATATAGGCGTCCTTCCTAACTCAGTTGCCGGAGAGTAAGGAAACCGCTCAGGGTTTTCACCATGAGGCCAATAGTGACTTTAAAACAGTTACAGAGTTTAATGGCTGTGATAAGAGAAAACGGAGGATGGATCAACAACACTGTAGTTACTCCACAATACTAACCTAAATGACAGAGTGAAAAGAAGGAAACCTGTACCGAATAAAAATATTCCAAAACATGCATGCAATAAGGCACTAAAGTAAAACTGCAAAATAAAATTGCTAAGAAATTTATTTTATGTCCTGAATACAAAGTGTTATGTTTAGGGCAAATCCAACAACACATCACTGAGTACCACTCTTCATATTTTCAAGCATGGTGGTGGCTGCATCAAGTTATGGGTATGCTTGTCATCGGCAAGGACTAGGGATTTTTTGGGGGGGGATGAAAAGAAACTGATAGAGCTAAGCACAAGCAAAATCCTAGAGGAAAATCTGGTTCAGTCTGCTTTCCGACAGACACTGGAAGATAAATTCACCTTTCAGCAGGACCATAACATAAAACACAAGGCCAAATATACACTGGAGTTGCTTACCAAGATGACATTGAATGTTCCTGAGTGGCCTAGTTACAGTTTTGACTTAAACCTGCTTGAAAATCTATGACAAGACTTGAAAATGGCTGTCTAGCAATGATCAACCACCAACTTCAGAGTTTTAATATTTTTTTAAAAAGAATAATGTGCAAATATTGTACAATCCAGGAAAGACTCACAGTTGGAATCGCTGCCAAGGGTGATTCTAACATGTATTGACTCAGGGAGTTGAATACTAATCTAATCAAGATATATTAGTGTTTTATTTTTCATATTTTTTACATAATATATTTCTTCCACTTTGACATGAGTATTTTGTGTAGATTGTTGACAAAAAATAAATAATACAATCCATTTTAATCCAAACTTTGTAACGGAACAACATTTTGAAAAAGTCAAGGGGTGTGAATACTTTCTGAAGGCACTGTGTGAATGTCCCTTGTAAATATATTCTCTGGATTTGGTCTTAAAAGCTAAATGCTTTAATTTATTATTGATGAACATTAGAAAAACACAAAAAGACATAATCCTAACTCCGATCCATCCAATTCATAATTCTTACAGTTTAGTACGGTCTGTTTATCTTGTTCCGTGGAATGCCCAAAGTGGAGAAATGAGTCTTTCCTTCTCCTGCACCGTTTGACACAAACAGAAAGACAATCCCAGCAATACAAAGTGCCCCGAAAACATATCCACCTCAATCACGAGCCAAGAAACTGCTGCAGCCTTGAGTCCTTGATGCCCAACCGGTAGGTTTAAAAGTTTCAGAAGTAAGCCTGTCCCACTCTCCACCGGTGTGTTTCCTAGTCTCTGGGAGGGTGGGGAGAGTTCATACCAGGCCAGCGGTGCAGAGAGGGGAGGACAGTAAGAGGAATGTCAGGGTGTTTGAGGGGAGTGAGGTATCAGCGCTTCTTGAGGGCCACCCCGTTGGAATGGGGAGGGAACTTTGGCAGGCAGGGCTCCTCAGCCCCAGCATCGTGGGAGAAGACAGAGTCCTCGCCAGAGGAGCAGGTGGAGCTGCGAGTGTCGGGGTAGCTGGGGGAATATTGGTCCAGAGGCACAGACAGCTCCAAGTACTCCTGCAAACACACACATATGGAATTTATGAGAGAGGATTGGACACACTGGCCAGAACACAGTCATATATCTAGCTTTGGATATCATCCCTTTCACACCCACATACAGACAAGTGGCTTAAATATCAAGTAAACACAACATTTGAACATTTTACATTTGGTCCTGACAGTAATACAAGGATGTGAGTTTATCACCTTTGTTGACTGTGCGTGAACTGCTGAGGCGTGCTCATTGTGGGGACTCACCTGGTTGGACGTCATGGCCAGGGTGCGGTCCAGGTCTTCCACCAGCTGTTTGAACGTGGGCCGGTGAGAGGGAACGGCATGCCAGCAGTCCCTCATCATCATGTATCTTGGGAGGGAGGAGGAGAAATGGAGAGAATAGAGGGAGAGTAAGAGAGCGGGAAAGAGTCCTATTTCAGCTGCTGGCTTGTCTGTCTTTTTTATTATCAGAGAACAATATATTTGCAGCTGCTGCATCCCTGAGCTCTGGGATAAACCCATAGTATCCATTCTAATGATAGAACACTGAGGAAGGAGGCTTACAGTTGGTGAGTGCAGGTGGTGGGCTTGTCCATGCGGTGGCCCTCCTTCAGCAGCTTGAACAGCTCCTCTACAGGGACCCCCGGGTACGGCGAGCCCCCCAGGGTGAAGATCTCCCACAGCAGCACCCCGAAAGACCATCTGCAGATGCAGAGGGACAGGACAAGCCCCATCAGTGAACACACAGGTCATATCATACAAGCCACGGGAATCTGGCCAACTTCTGCCCATTCCAAAAATGGTAAATGTGTATATATTCCATACTCACACATCACTTTGGTGCGTGTATATCCGGTCAAATAGAGCTTCTGGGGCCATCCACTTGACTGGTAAACGACCCTGTGGGTTAAATGCTAGTGTAAATTGGCAAATTGGTCAGGGGAAGCAATTTTCACATTGATTGGCATGGCTGAGGTAGGTAATTAGTAGCATACTCACATTGGTGGTCTTCTTATAGTAATCAATATGGTGGATATCTCTGGCCAGGCCAAAGTCTGCGATCTTCATCACGTTGTCCTCTGTCACGAGCACGTTGCGGGCAGCCAGGTCTCTGTGGATACACTGTACACAGACGCATATAAGAACTAGGTCTAGCTGGCCTAGCACATTCACTGCATCTTTACTGTATACTCTATACTCAACTGTGCTGATGTAGGTAGAGTCGGATCCTGATGTTACCTTCTTAGAGGACAGGTACTCCATGCCGCGGGCCACCTGGTAGGCACAGGACACCAGGTCTTTGATAGACATGTTCTCTATGGGCACCTGGTCAGGGTTGTAGCAGTACTCCATGCCTGGTGGACGCCGAGCTCTCAGGTACTCCCGGAGGTTTCCCTTGGAGGCATACTCCACAATAACATAGAGAGGACCTGGGGAAGGAGACAAGGGTCACTCACTATTCTACAGCACTGGAAGATGTGACATTTAAAATACATTTATGTGACATCTGACGCAACAAGACAGACCATTTTTGTTCTCAGAGAACAGCATTTCAAACGGTGAGGATGGATGTCATTGAGTGGTGGAGGGGTCATGGTGAGAGTTAAGCTCTGAATTAAAACCAACAGCTGTATCTTTCTCCTAACATGCCAATGAGAGCGAAGAGTAATGGTGTATTCTGGACAGCCATTTTGTGGTCAGGGAAAAACACCATTACAAATCAAGGCATTAAGAATTTACAAGCTGTAACTAAAGAACAAGAAAAAGAATCCAAATGTCTGTTAACACTTGTATGCCGTGTAAAAAAAAAAAAAGAAGAAGAATCCATCACCATCTATAGTAAGTAAATGCAAAGACTTGAAAACATTTTGCCAAAGATTAAAGTCTGTATGTCAAACAGGTCTGGGTAATAAGGTGTGGAATGCTAACAGATTCCTACAATAACTTCTACTGGAACTTCTCAAGGGACCAGGTGGAACAAAGAGCAGCCTCTTGTGTTCTGCTACATGATTTTTAGGACAGAGAGCTCTCTAATGTTCACAGCAGGGTCAGAGGAGGCTAATGTTCCTCCCCAGCAGAACAGCGTATGGTGCCAGGGCTTGTCAGTGAAGATTTGAAAGATATGGCAACCCTGGCAGCAGCTGTGGTCATCTCAAACTGAGAGCTCGGAAGTTGGTGTCAGAATCCCTTACTCATACCATTATACACATTTATGCATGCTGATCTGATCATGCTGTGCTTTTTGTGGTCTTGTTAAACAACTGAACAATGCAAGGGTCTAAAAACCCTTTCCCAAAACACTCATTTTCCCTCCAAAATAAACATGTTTTCAGCCTTTCTGAATGAAGGATTTGAAGGGAGGAAAGGGGGTCTGCCGGTGTGAGACCTACCATCCTGGGTACAGGCTCCCAGCAGGTTAATGATGTTCTTGTGCTTCCCAATGATTTTCATCATCTCCATCTCGGAGATCAGATCTGACAGGTCTTTCTCTGTAGCATCAGCTGAGGGGAGGGAAAGAATTAGAACGAAATTAGACTCATTACAACAATAACCCAACCCTGAACTCTCTATGATTACCAAATCAAAAAGAGTTCTCATGTAAAACATCCCAGTTTTGTACAAAGCAAAGGACACTGCTATGCAAAATGATTTCAAAGTAAATTTACATAACTTTCTTTTTTTTAATTCAAAGGCACCAACTGTAGGGAAAAGTCTACAGACACCACTGAGCTAACCAAGAGTATAGTCTTCTTTCACAGGGACATGCAGGTGTGTGTGTGTGTGTGTGTGTGGGGGAGGGGGGGGGGGTGAAGGCAGCACTCTCTGGGGAGAGGCACTTAACAAGTACCAAGCAATAAATTGTTATTTTCCTACATCCCCACTCTTCACAGCTTTATGAACCCTGTCATATATCCAACTCAGGGGTTCTCATACATTTTTACTCTGGTCTCCTATTTGCACAGTGGCCAGGAGCCAGTGGCAGATGCCTCTTATAATGTCTGTGCATCACGGCACTGAGTAGAACTCTCCTCCCATCCTGTAATTGCGGTTGTGGCTTTATGCTTAATTCTGTGCTCCTTGCATTTGAAATAACTTCCCAACATGCAGTATCGGAGACCTAGCCATGTGCCTAAATCACAGGTTTGATATGGTTTATGAGAGAAAAAAAAACTTGGCTTACATTTGAGCATCTTGACGGCCACTTTGGTGACCCTGTTTGGCTTCTCTTTGTCCATCCCTACAGCCTCTCCCATCACCACCTGGCCAAAGCAGCCTTCTCCCAGGGGCTTCCCCAGCACCAGTCTAAGTGCGTCACAGGAAGAGGAAGAAATAACAAATGTGAGAGGATTGAGACAGACAGGCAATTTTCCCATTCAAAGGTGTGTGATATTGTTATGTTTGTATTTAATAGGTGTGTTCCAGTCATCTGCGTACCTGTCCCTGGGCAGCTCCCAGCGTGGGTCCTGGGGCAGCTCGTACTCAGACACCCCAGACAGCATAGGAGAGCCACTGGACGAGAGGCGGGAGGGGCGCACCAACATCACCCCAGAGTGGAGGGAGGAGCTAGAGTCCACTGACACCTGGAATACAGAAGCCTGCCGTTACTCTCTCATAGTGGAGCCAGGGAAGGAACAGACAGACAGACAGGCAGAAGGATATCCAGTGTGTGGACAGAACATGATGTACCATTTGTTAAACCTTCAGAATGTCACTTAAATAAGTCTGTAGACACAAAATGTAACAACTAAAACTACTTTGATCCCAGTGGAAGCAGAGAGCAGGCAGAGACGAACACCTGCCCTCTACTCATGCCAACCTGACTCACCTCTTTGAGGAACCAGAAGCTCGGGGAATTAAGGTTTTTTATTTTCACAAGATTATGAACACTTCCATTTGATAAGAATAAGTGATAGGAATAAGTTAAAAAAATTATTAAGATACCATAAAGATTACACTAAATGGGATGAGAAAGCAGAAAAGGTATAAAGATTTCAAACCCCCTATCTACTTTCTGTTACCTGTCTACGCAGGGGGATGCTTTTAGCCAGCTTGTGGACAGCCAGCTGACTGTTGAAGTCACTTTTCTTGGACGAGCTGCGCATCTTGATGATGATCGCCACGGCCACCATGACAGCAATGAGGAAGAAGCCCACACAGTAGATCAGCACTTCCAGGTAGGTTTGGTTGGGTGGTGGGGAGCGGGGGACTGCTGGATGAGGGCAACGCCATGGGGGCGATAGGATAGGGGGCAAGAGGTCAGCCACACAGGGTCAAATCACACAACAACAGAGATCCATGCATTCTCAAATACCAATCACACTTTCACAACACAACACACCACACACAGGCATGTAACAAAAATACTGAACACACACACAGGCATCCCCTCAACCACAAACACCACCCTGATACATTCACTAAGACCACTCAGCTGACATGTACAGAAAAACAGAGCCCTTAACACCACTGGCATAGAGAGCGGAGCACAAACTCCTATTGTAGCACCATAATCACTTCTTTCAGGCATAGGGTTTCACTCCACATTCTTTGCCAGTGTGACCAGCAGCCATAGTCTCTAGTGGCAGAGAACGGCCAAGTCCTCTTGAGCTGGGACAAACCCAAATAACACAGAGCCTTGTGCAAACTGATAAGCATTAACACAGATGTACATTAAGTTCAATCTTAGCTTCGTATTTTTATGTATTTCATTTTTTTGTGCAAAGGCTCGGTTATTCAGGACAACATATGATAACATCACAGACAAAACCCAGGCCACTGCACACAAATATTTCAAACATACTACTCATTCATTCATTCATGTAGGAAGATATGTTATAAAAAGAATGTGTTCAATTGTTTAACTTAAGCTAATTATTTATTTAAAGTAAATGTCCCATTCTGACTTCCTTAGAGCACATAAAATGGTTGTTCTGCATAAAAGCCCAGTTTTGTTCTAAAATGGCTTGTGTGGTGGTTGTTGGTACAAACAATTGTCACTATGATTTCCTTGTCATTTTGACATTCCAAATTTTGACATTGTCTCTCGCTACCAGGAACAAAACCACCTATGTACTGAAGTGGACTAACGTTAGACACAAAATATAAAATCTCAATCTAATTATCTCCAATTTAGATCAGTGTTTCACAACTTTACAATATGGATGAAAATTAACATATTGGAAGTGTCTTTTTTTACCTCGCTTTCCGAAAAACACCAGAATGATACAAAACACCAGAATGATACAAAACACCAGCAACACAAGTGAGCTGCCCTTGTGTGTAGAGGCTGAATGACAAGCAGCTTGATAATTGGACAAATGCCTATTCCAACCCAGAGGAATGAGCCGTCCACTACAGTGAGCCAATTATCAAAGCTAGCCTTAAGAGCAGGCTTCGTCCTCACAGCAGGAAATGACATCAGGGATACATGTCATTTTGTAGTGCTTGTCAGAAAACATCAGCCTTACACAGAATCAAATGTAAACACCAAATTGAAACCAGAATGGGAGAGACAAGTTGGAGTGAAACACCAACAGTACTGCCAAACAACCCCTTCTGAATGGAAAACTTCAACTTAAGGCAGTCAAGTAGAAGTGCATTGTAAAGTTACCCGTTAACCATTTGAAACAATGTGGAAAGCTGACAAATCATTTTTATGAAATTGGCAGAGGAAATTGTAATTTATTTTTTTGTTTGAGGGTATAAACACCTGAACTTTCTGATTCAGGGGTTGTCAGTTTAGGTAGATTTTATGGGTCAGAAGGGTTGTTTGGCATTCTGTGATTTCTGGTAATCATTTCTCAACATGGACCATCCTGTCCCATCCAGAAAGGTTGGATGGGCATGGAACCATGCTGACAGGGGAAGGGAGAAGGTTAGTATCACAACTTGGCCTGGCATCCACACACATCCACTTTGCTCACTCAAGTAGGGTCTACAGAGACTATATTCAGAGAAATGTGGGCAGTGGATGGCCAAGCCAAAGTGGAGAGGAGGGAGGGGAAGGAGATCAGAGGAGAGAACCATTGATACCTTTAAAAACGATCAACCATGCAGAGTGATGAGAGAACCCGATAGAATTGCCCGCCAAGCAGGTATACTCCCCAGCATCATCAAAAGACACATTCCTCAGTTGGAGGATTTCCATTTCCTTGTCCGTGGTGTTAAGGCCAGCAGTCTAGAAAATAACAATGGAAGCAGACCCGACAAGAGGCCCAGAGGAAAAAGGGAGGCATGAGTAAAAGATTCTGAAAGGGAAAGACTTCTGGTAGAGGAGGGGACAGGACCGAGGGTGGATGGGGTATTCATACTCCCCTCTCAATCCAACACCATCCCCCTCCAAGAGTAAAAACCCACACCGCCGTTAGAGGGCGCTGCCCGTATCGGCCCTCCAGTCAGTTAGTGGAGGAGCTAGTTAGGTAGAGACCGCACCGCAGCACTAAACCCTTTACTGGACCATCACCATTTGAGAAGGAGCAGTGACGGACATCCCCTATAGTCTTATCTCTACATGCAAGAGATGAGCTACATGGAAAACCCCTCAGCAGAGCACACACACTCACTCTCAAGGCCACACACACTTCACCATACAACAAATCCACGAGACAAACAGCAGGAGCTCAGTGAAAGACGGAAAGGCTGAGTAAGACAGCTGAAAAGTGTGTGTGGGGGGGGGGGGGGGGGACAAGGCAGTAATAAGAGAGGCAGTCAAAGATCTGAGCAGAAGACTTTGAAGGGCGAGGGAGTGAAAGTAATAGCAGTGGATGGCAGGAGAGGCCCTTATTAGGAGGGCACGGGAGAGGCATGGGGCAGGAAAGAGAAAGCAGTCCAACATAAACCAAGACTAAACACATTCAAACGCTCTGCTGGGAATTTTCCATAGTGTAATTTACAGTCAGGAGCACTGAGGCGGGATAGAAGGAGGGAGGGAGCGAGGGAGGAGAGAAACAGCTGAGGTTGTCCCTAAACAAGTCCCTAGGTCTCCAGGTGGCCCTAGCAGCCTCTGGTTGAGGATCTCTCGGTGTGCTCTGAGCTGCTGCTGCTGCGTGGGGCGGTTACCTTGGGCCTCATGCCTGACGACGGTCAGCCAGGCCGACTGATTGGCCTCTCCTATATAATTGGACACTTTACATATATACTCCCCGCTCTCCTCCTCAGTGACATTGTAGAGGGTCAACACCTGAGTGTCCGAGCTATTGACCCCAGAGTGCTGAAAACAAAAACATGTAATGTGCAACAACATATCAAGATGAGGTTTTAACAAACGTCTCTGTTGAATGAGATCACAATCATTTGTTAGCATTGACTTTCCCCTCTCAAGCATATACTTTTACAAGGCACAGGAAACTACTTATATAGAGGGATAACATTTACATTTTAGTCATTTAGCAGACGCTCTTATCCAGAGTGACTTACAGGAGCAATTAGGGTTAAGTGCCTTGCACAAGGGCACGTCGACAGATTTTTCCCCTAGTTGGCTTGGGGATTGGAACCAGCCACCTTTCGGTTACTGGCCCAACGCTCTTAACTGCTAGGCTACCTACCTGCCATATCCTCAAAGAGGGATACTATTTGCCCTCCTTTGCCAGACAATCTTGAAGGGATATAATAGACATGATGAAACAGGAAATGAAAATTATACAAACTACTCAACAAAGACCTGCGCTTAAGAGTGTACTACACAATTTCATTGAAATCTAACACTGTTTGGCTGTATTACTACTCAGCTGTATGTCTGTATTCCCCCAAGCATTACATGGGGTGTCATCTCTTACTCAATGAAGGTTATCACATTTAGTTCCTGACTGAACAGAATAAATGCAGCTATGTTGTGTCCTGTGTAGTTTGGTGGTGGACCCAGTCAGTGCACTGCGAGCCCCTACCTTGAGGACGCGGACATAGGGTAAGCCATCAGGGCCTACGCGACTCCCATTGACCTCCATGTGCTTCAGCCACTGGATGTGAGGCTGGGGGTCACTGAACACCTTACACTCAAACGCCACATCACTGCCCACCACCGCAGTGAGATTGGCTGGCAGTCCGGCCTGCAGGATGGGTCTGTGGGGGGAACGCTCTGTAACAGATACACACAGACGCATAACAATCACATTGAAATATGAACATTAATAACAAAAAAGATCACATACGAAGACACATGTCAACCACATACAAAGACATAGTTGTGGAGAATCCTAGCAGTCAGAAATACCTTAGTAACAGACAACAGGAGAACAGCTCTGTCAGTCTGACCTTGGTAGAGCCTGATCTCAGGCCAGGTTACAAGGTTACCCTGATCTCATGTCCTTTCACTACTTACAGACGGTAATTTCACAGCCAGCAGTTCCCCCAACTACTCTGCCGCCTATATAATTGCTGCAATTTTTCCCAAATGACTGGAAACACAAGCTTGCAGACAAGTTTTGAGCCGCTGCCCTGAGAGAGAAATGTTCTCCGGGTGCCATTTTGATGACTGATAACTCGCCAAACCATACTAATGAGCCCAGCATCTGGCAGGGGAACAAAATGTTCAGGCTTCATTTGCTTTCCTGATACAGAGATGAGTGTGGCGCTTTGCACACATTTTGTAGAATTACTCTGTCTCCAAAATGATCTCACAGTTGACCGAGGTTGGGGAGTGAAGTCACGCCAACAACGGCCCTGGACGTGAATATCCCAGGAGACACCACTGTCTGTGGAGGTGGAGCTTTGATTTATAGAACCAATGGAGCGTGAGTAAGTCACAGAGCAGGTCCCTCCTGTAGCTCAGTTGGTAGAGCATGGCGCTTGCAATGCAAGGGTTGTGGGTTAATTTCCCACGGGGGGCCAGTATGAAAAATGTATGCACTCACTAATTGTAAATCACTCTGGATAAGAGCGTCTGCTAAATGACTAAAATGTAAATGTAAAATGTGCAGGATGAAATAATAATTTCACCTTTTCAGAAAGCTTCATCAGCAGGGCCACAACGTAAACAAGGTTAATAAAAAAAAAAGGCTAATTTGACACGACAGTTCAGACCATATGACTCTCTCCTTGGAAAAAGGGCACACCATTACTTTGATTACTAGGGCCTAGTGTTGTAAACCATTAGCGATATTGAAACAACAACACACTTAAGCTACATAAATATCCAATTGATGATTAAACCAGGTGAATGGATTAGGCTTAGGCATGCCTAGTAAGGAATTTCCCCGATACAATGACCCAGAGAGGAAAGATACTTACCCACAACATCCAGCTGGTAAGTGTGGTTGATGCTTCCATGTTTGTTTTCAACAACACAGGTGTAGTTCCCCTTGTCGGATGGCACTACAGACTCCATGATGATGGTCCACATGTGTTCTCGAACCTGCAAATTGGAGAAGAGAAAGGTAAAATATTTAGTCAGAGGAGGATGTTTTGAAGGCACATCCAGATGACAGCTGGTCCAACCAAAGCACTAAGACTTACAGTGGGGGAAAAAAGTATTTAGTCAGCCACCAATTGTGCAAGTTCTCCCACTTAAAAAGATGAGAGAGGCCTGTAATTTTCATCATAGGTACACGTCAACTATGACAGACAAAATGAGGGAAAAAAAATCCAGAAAATCACATTGTAGGATTTTTAATGAATTTATTTGCAAATTATGGTGGAAAATAAGTATTTGGTCAATAACAAAAGTTTCTCAATACTTTGTTATATACCCTTTGTTGGCAATGACACAGGTCAAATGTTTTCTGTAAGTCTTCACAAGGTTTTCACACACTGTTGCTGGTATTTTGGCCCATTCCTCCATGCAGGTCTCCTCTAGAGCAGTGATGTTTTGGGGCTGTCGCTGGGCAACACAGACTTTCAACTCCCTCCAAAGATTTTTTATGGGGTTGAGATCTGGAGACTGGCTAGGCCACTCCAGGACCTTGAAATGCTTCTTACGAAGCCACTCCTTCGTTGCCCGGGCGGTGTGTTTGAGATCATAGTCATGCTGAAAGACCCAGCCACGTTTCATCTTTAATGCCCTTGCTGATGGAAGGAGGTTTTCACTCAAAATCTCACGATACATGGCCCCATTCATTCTTTCCTTTACACGGATCAGTCGTCCTGATCCCTTTGCAGAAAAACAGCCCCAAAGCATGATGTTTCCACCCCCATGCTTCACAGTAGGTATGGTGTTATTTGGATGCAACTCAGCATTCTTTGTCCTCCAAACACGACGAGTTGAGTTTTAACCAAAAAGTTATATTTTGGTTTCATCTGACCATATGACATTCTCCCAATCCTCTTCTGGATCATCCAAATGCACTCTAGCAAACTTCAGACGGGCCTGGACATGTACTGGCTTAAGCAGGGGGACACTGGCACTGCAGGATTTGAGTCCCTGGCGGCGTAGTGTGTTACTGATGGTAGGCTTTGTGACTTTTGTCCCAGCTCTCTGCAGGTCATTCACTAGGTCCCCCCGTGTGGTTCTGGGATTTTTGCTCACCGTTCTTGTGATCATTTTGACCCCACGGGGTGAGATCTTGCGTGGAGCCCAAGATCGAGGGAGATTATCAGTGGTCTTGTATGTCTTCCATTTCCTAATAATTGCTCCCACAGTTGATTTCTTCAAACCAAGCTGCTTACCTATTGCAGATTCAGTCTTCCCAGCCTGGTGCAGGTCTACAATTTTGTTTCTGGTGTCCTTTGACAGCTCTTTGGTCTTGGACATAGTGGAGTTTGGAGTGTGACTGTTTGAGGTTGTGGACAGGTGTCTTTTATACTGATAACAAGTTCAAACAGGTGCCATTAATACAGGTAACGAGTGGAGGACAGAGGAGCCTCTTAAAGAAGAAGTTACAGGTCTGTGAGAGCCAAAAATTGCTTGTTTGTAGGTGACCAAATACTTATTTTCCACCATAATTTGCAAATAAATTCATTAAAAATCCTACAATGTGATTTTCAGGATTTTTTTTCTCATTTTGTCTGTCATAGTTGACGTGTACCTATGATGAAAATTACAGGCCTCGCTCATCTTTTTAAGTGGGAGAACTTGCACAATTGGTGGCTGACTAAATACTTTTTTTCCCCACTGTAAATAGATCCCCAAAGTCCCATACTTTCACAATACATCCTATTAATACTATAAAAACGCTTTAGTGAGACACTTGTGTCTAGATTATAAAAAAGATGGTATAGCCAGCCTGGTGCAACACTATTCCTTCATTAGTTCATTTCTGGAATTATTATTTTCTTTGACTTTGACATCAAGAGCACATTTAATTTGTTATGCTGCTAGTTAGTTATTTGTACAAAATGGGGAAACATTTACAAGTTCAATGACGTGTAATGAAATGCAGATCAAACAATAATTACTTTTTTTATTTTAATATCCATGGGAAGGAGGAGGAACTTGCTATCAGGAGACTTTTTCCCATGTCATATAAAACTCTATTGTGCTCCATTGCTTGAGGCACAGTACATTAATGCACTCTTGGAAACATATTGGGGCGGGGAAACGGTTTCTTAGTGGTCACATGACTTGTTTCAACTTGTTCCGGGAAAGACTATAGTCAGGTTACAGCCTATGCACATCTAAGGCTAAATCCTGTTCTCTATATTCTAAGTTATAATTTTTCTTCCATAAATCTGACCAAGACCGGCAGTGTGTGATTAAACTCTAACAAACCTCTCAGGCAATGGCAACATCAAACATGCATACACAGAGCCTGCGTTACGGTTTCCCTCATTTAGCTTAAATGCGCTGGGGTTCCACAGCTGCTTCTGGCCAGATGTGTTGTGCTTGGGTTAATGCATGTGGTCTGTGTTATTTCCCCCTGCCCTCTCCATACATTAAGACTATATGAACAATGGAGCCGTGGTCATAAAACCAAAGCGCGGGGGGGGGGGGGTTGGCGAGCCCAGTTCATAGACGTCTCCAGCTGCCCATCTAGACCTTTGCACCTTAACTGAAAAAACAGCAGCCAGATGGTAAAGTGTGCTGCCTGGCCCGGTAGGGCCGAGCTGGGCTGGGGGAGAGAAGGCAGCTGAAAGGAAATTATTTAATGTGTCCCAGCAGGGGGGCCTGACGAGGACAAGGCTGGACAACACCTTGATGGGAAGAGCAGATGCACAGGACCCTGGCCCCCTACAACATCCCAGCACATCCTACGTCACGTGAGGTTGTCGCAAGCCAACACACTCACAGCCGTCCAAACCACGGCACGGATATGGTCAACGTTAAAAGCCAAGAGCACAGTATACACATGCTATCTGCATCAGGGAAAATAAAAGTAAACGGACTCATCACCACCATGCCCATTACTGTGAAATGTTTACCCCGTCTCACTTCCTCTGTGACAGTGAGCAGTCATGTCCTGCTCCCCAACACTGAGATGGGGTAAATCTGCAGGATTTATTCTGTCTGCTCATTATAAACAAATTTCCTTTGAGAAGTTGGTTTTGCTATACGCAGATAAATCTTGAAAACAAATACAGTAAACAGCAGATACCCAGATGTGTTAAATGAGGACAGCCAGGCGTATTCCACCTCGAGGGCATTGCCATCCTCGAGGCATGCTTTTTGTGGCACAATCATCCCGTTGTGGCATTGGATTTCACTTTGCATTGTTCCCCAATCAGGTGCAAAACGTGTTCCTGCTTTCCACTACTCACAAGGGGTGAATACAGGGAGGGGGTTTACCTTAAAGCCCCCGATGCGCTGATCCCTCTTGAATTCTTTGCCGTTCTTGAACCACTTGAGTGTTGGGGTGGGGTTTCCACTGGCCTGGCAGCGGAACTTGACCGTCTTACTGGCTGGGACAGCATGCAGCTTTTTCTCCATTTTATCTGGCTGAGCCCACTGAGGGGCCATTGCTGAGGAACAATGGAGAGAAAAAGAGAACACTTAAACACCTATTCTGACAGAAGAATTGACACAACAATTATGTGTGCAGGTAGTTTCCATCTGGCTTAGGAGAGTTCTATACAACAATCCACAAAGTCAAGTGACAATTTCCAGTTTTGCTCAAAAACATACAAAACTCCAGTATAGGATTGCCTAATCTCTTGGGACCCAAGGTCGTCGTCAGGGGTGCCCGCCACGCTAGCTGCTTACTTCCCTGTGGGCACATGGCATTCACCAGATGGCAGTAGCCAGCTGACCACGCCTGACTGGCTTTATAACACTGTGTAGACAAACAGTAATCAGGGGACGTCTGGAATGTACTGAGTTTAGTCACTAGTAAAACATTCCTTACTCAAGTGTAACCAGCACTGTGGGGTGCTACTGGCCCTCTGAATCACAACTGTGAACAAATCACTCTTAGATAACAGCAAACACGCCTAATAGGTGAATCACATTTGAAATGTAACAGGAAATAACCTAATTAGTTAGGGCTCTCTTTTGTTAAGTTCAGGGCATTAACCTCAACAGGAGCAGAATCTAGTCCAAGCCTAGTCCTATTTACCATTCCAGTGACAGGTGGTAGGCCTAGGAGGATGAGACACTTACGTAAAAGCTTTTGACTGCTAGACATCTTTGCCTCCTCTGAGGAAGACTCATCCTCCTCGTCTTCATCTTCAGAGGATGCCAGGATATCAACTGGTGAATAGGAAGAGAGGACGAATGTCATTTGACTTGGCTTAGCTGCATTACCACGTACCTTGAATTGTTTCGCTCTACAGGACCAGTGATTTTAGCACTCAGTGGTAGCTTTGACCTTACCTGTGACATTGACAGAGAAGTAAGAGCTGTGGTTGCCAAAGGTGACACAGGTGTACAGGCCCGAGTCAGCCGGCTCCACCCCCTCGATCTCCAGCTGGCCATCTCGTAAGCGTGTGTGCTCCCCGTCCACCACCACTGCATGGTCCTTGGTCCAGTTGACTGACTCCTTGGTTTTACAGCTCAGCTCCAGTCGGTCCCCAGGGTACAGGGTGTAGCGCTCTGCTTGGATTTCCACAGGTGGCACAGGGATGACTAGGGTACAAACAGGGCAAAGAGTGAGGGCCTGATCACCGACAACGATAAGACTATAGGGAGGAGTTCAGAGACCTGGCAGTGTGGTGCCAGGACAACAACCTCTCCCTCAGCCTCAGTAAGACAAGACAAAGGAGCTGATTGTAGGCTACAGGAAACTGAGGGCCAAGCACGCCCCCATTCACATTAATGGTGCTGTAGTGGAGCGGGTCGAGAGCTTCAAGTTCCTCGGTGTCCACATCAGTAAGGCTCTATCATGGTCCAAACACACCAACACAGTCGTGAAGAGGGCACGTCAACGCCTCTTCTCCCTCAGGAGGCTGAAAATATTTAGCATGGGCCCTCAGATCCTCAAAAGGTTCTACAGCTGCACCGTCGAGAGCATCTTGACTGGCTGCATCACCACTTGGTATGGCAACTGCTTGGTATCCGACCGCAAGGCACTACAGAGGGTAATGCGTACAGCCCAGTACATCACTGGGACCAAGCTCCCTGCCATCCATACCAGGACCTCTATACCAGGTTGTGTCAGAGGAAGGCCCAAACATTTTTCAAAGACTCCAGTCACCAAAGCCACAGACTGTTCTCTCCGTTAATGCACGGCAAGCGGTACCAATGCACCAAGTCTGGAACCAACAGGACCCTGAACAGCTTCTAACCCCAAGCCATAAGACTTCTAAACAAGACCGCTAAATAGCTAATCAAATGGCTACCCGGACTACCTGCATTGACCCTTTTTTGCACTAACTCTTTTGCACCGACTATGCACACACACTGGATCCAATACACACACACATACGTGCATACTGACACCACAAACACACACACACAGCCCACACACGCTGCTGCTACTGTCTATTATCTATCCTGTTGCCTAGTCACTTTACCCCTACCTATATGAACAGTACATAGCTACCTCAACAACCTTGTACCCCTGCACATGGACTCGGTACTGGTACTTCCTGTATATAGCCATGTTATGTTCACTCGTTATTGTTATTCACTGTGTATTCATTCCTCGTGTCACTATTTCAATTTTTTGTCTTATCTTTAACCCTACATTGTTAGAAAAGGAGCAGTAAGTAAGCATTTCACTGTTAGTCTACACCGGTTGTTGGTCCTACACATAAAAAGCATGTGACAAATAAAATTAGATTTTGAGGGCTGAGTACCTTCCAGTACAATAGTATACATGCAAAAATGCAGGCAAGCTCCAACTAACACAACAGCTTTAATCACTGGGCAACTTAGAAAACCACAGACAGACTCAATTGTCCATATGATTCTGGGAGATGCATATCAAAATGTATGTAATAGTATACAGCAGGAGACAGAATATAGTATCCACAACAACCAGTCTTGAGGAAAAAAGTGCATAAATCAAAAGCGCATATAGCTCAACCTAAAATCTGCAACATGTCTGACATTGGGTAAATGTCCGAAAAGCTCTTATACTGTGATGCAACCATCTGTCTAAATATTGTGCCCAACTACATGAGAAAGGAATGACAAAGGGAGCAGCTCTTTCCTCAATGTCCCTGAAAGTACCATCGTCCACATTCACGGGCAGCTTATTGAATCTAAGCTCTTGTTTGCGTTTGCAGAGCTGAAAATTGAGCTACAGCCTCTTACCTTCTTCACCCAATTCCTGCCTATCCTCTCCCTTAAATTAAATCGCACTCCGAATTAGTCAAGGGCCAATTGTGAGGCTGGCAAGGAGCTCCTCGGGAGAGGAAGGTGGAATTAGATTTGAGGAATGGGGAGGGGGACGGCGTCACTGAGCTAGACACCTGAGCCCCCTGTTCTCTACGACTACATAGTCGACCAGGGGGAGGGGCTAACCCAATTACGTTGACACATTGTCAATCACAACGGTGTTGTCTGTCTGGTTACAAAAGCACACAGCGTCACAAGCTAAACTTGTCTGGGAGTCTTGCTCTTTATGGGGACATGTGTTGAGCAGACACTGGAAAAGCATTAGAGGACAATGTGGTCTGAATCTTAGCTACAGGCTGCGGACTGGGCTATACAGTGAAAAAGCCATCTTTGCCGTTTCCAGATAGTAATGTCTGGCACAAACACTGTGGTCCAAATACATTTTCTGCATCCTTTGCCATTCTCATTACTCCTCTGTCACAACTATCTGTGCATCTCACGTACCTAGATCCTCCTAGATCCTTGATGGATTAAAATCCATACATTCCAACTATTATGATTACAAGAACATGGAATCGCAAATGCTTCTAGACATAATCTAAAGATCGCTTAGTTATGAAGAGATAACCTACAGGTTGATGTTAAGAAAAGTTACAGTGTTGATGAATCTACTCTCTTCCTGGGTCCAAAGAAGACAGATTCATGGTGAATTGATAATGAAGTGAAGACTGAACATACAGTACACTGCTACATGTAACATATACTAGGCTCTTCCTCCAACACAGGGAGCACACCCATATACCATACCCTCAGGACAACGTTAGCAAACCTGATCACAGTAATCCCTCCCTCCATCTCAACAAAGGCCTCTCAACAATAAAGGGGGAGAGAGAAAGAGCGTGTGCACAAGAGAGTGAGGGGGGAGAGAGCGAGTTAGGGCCTGCAGTGGCAGGTTCTAGTGCCAGTTGCCATGGTGACCCCCAGTTGGGCCTAGTAAAGGTATTTCCTGGATCACATATGTCTGACAGGCCCTTAATCCCAGCAGGAAAAGGGGCCAGGGGGTAGGATCAACTTTCTCCTCAAAAACAAAACCAAAGGGAAGGGGGGGACTGGAAGCCCAGAACTATCCAATTGAGACTTGGGCTAAAACGTTAAGGGCTCCAACATGCTCTGTGTGGGGCCATGATCTTGCTTGTGTTTTTTCCCTCCTCGTCCTAAACCTGATAAGGCTATGTCAACATTAGTTATTAATCTAGCTGCAGACGCCCCATAAAAATCCCATGAAAGCTGTACAAATGTACTCGTCACTGTTGTGGAGCAAAGTCAACCCAGTCTTATGATTACAACTGGGAACAGCAACCAAGTACAGCATTGCCATCACTATTGAGGAGCAGACATACCTTGCATACATAATAACCTTATTTTTTCTTTCTTCCAAATGGGAGAATCAAGTGGGAAGCGCACATGCTGTAAGGACATTGAGTCAATGTCTAATTGAGGCCTCTGTCTAGTTTATGTATTTAGAAAGCAAGAGTCATCTTAACTAATACTGTGAGTCACAGTGTGGCCTAAAATAACATGTTTTAAATTATAATTTTTACAAACAGTCATTCCATCATTATTTCCATTCATTAAGCGGTATCTGTGTGTAGCTCAAAATATAAAGGTGAACAGACAGCTAGCCATTAGGAAACTGTGGCTCAGTTAATCCTTCTGCTTCAATGATTGGATTAGAGACCATATTTTCAGAAAGCACCCCAGCTGGAATATTCCTGCTAGCATGCTTTCTTCCAACTATTTGGAAAAATTGATTGACATTCCTGAAAATCAACATAATTACACAAAATCATGAAAGGGATTTTGACCGAGAAGTAAGAATGCAAGACAGGGTTTGAACAAAAAAAAGTGCATGAGTCTATGAGCGCAGGACTGACTCCAAACACTGAACACATTGGCACCAGTCTATAGAACCTGTGCTGGCTTCCAGATAGGAAGCAATATGCCATGTGAATGACTGTTGGGATTTCCTGCCGGAGTGATGGTTGAGTGCAGCACAGAGACCTGTTACAACAGGGAGATGGCGTGAGCAGAATGACCTCTCTCTCTGTGGCCAGTCTACCCCCACTGATTTGACACAGAGTGAGTGAAGGGTTGATCATGACAACAGACAGGAATAGCAGGAAGTGATAGAACAACACAGGGTCTATTAGAAAACCCAAAAGTTTACATTAATGGGATAACCTTTGCTGAAAGTTTTTCAATGGTCAACATTTCCATCTGGACCCCTCATGTCTACTTCATTAGCTTCATAACATCCCTGATGTTCAGCAAGTATAGTGCCTCTAACCCCCGTCTCTCTGTATAGTGCCTTTAAACCCTCTCTCTGTATACAGTGACTTCAGAAAGTATTCACACCCATTTACTTTTTCCACATTTTGTTGTGTTACAGCCTGAATCTAAAAAGGAACTAATTTAGATTTTGCGTCACTGGCCTACACACAATACCCCATAATGTCAAAGTGGAATTATGTTTTTAGACATTTTTACAAATTAATTTAAAATGAAAAGCTGAAATGTCTTGAGTCAATAATTATTGAACCCATTTTATGGCAAGCATAAATAAGTTCAGGAGTAAAAAATGTATTATCAACTCGCATAATAAGTTACATGGAATCACTGTGTGCAATAATAGTGTTTAACATGATTTTTAATGACTACCTCATCTCTGTACCCCACACATACAATTATCTGTAAGGTCCCTCAGTCGAGCAGTGAATTTCAAACAAAGACTCAACCACAAAGACCAGGGAGGTTTTCCAATGTCTCGCAAAGAAGGGCACCTATTGGTAGATGGGTCAAAATAACAAAAGCAGACATTGAATATCCCTTTGAGCGTGCTGAAGGTTTTAATTACACTTTGGATGGTCTATCAATACACCTAGTCGCTAAAAAGGATATAGGCTTCACCCTAACTCAGTTGCCGGAGAGGAAGGAAACCGCTCAGGGATTTTACCATGAGGCCAATGGTGACTTTAAAAGTTTAATGGCTGTGATAAGAGAAAACTGAGGATGGATCAACAACATTGTAGTTCCTCCACAATACTAACCTAAATGACAGAGTGAAAAGAAAGAAGCCTGTACAGAATAAAAAATATTGCAAAACATGCATCCTGTTTGCAAAAAGTCACTAAAGTAAAACTGCAAAAAATTGGAAATGAACTTTATCTCCTGAATACAAAGTGTTATACACTACATGGCCAAAGGTATGTGGACACCTGCTTGTCAAACATCTCATTCCAAAATCATGGGCATTAATATGGAGTTGGTCCCCCCCTTTGCTGCTATAACAGCCTCCACTCTTCTGGGAAGGCTTTCCACTAGATGTTGGAACATTGTTGCGGGGACTTGCTTCCATTCAGCCACAAGAGCATTAGTGAGGTCGGGCACTGATTTTGGGCGATTAGGCCTGGCTCACAGTCAGCGTTCCAATTCATCCCAAAGGTGTTCGATGGGGTTGATGTCAGGGCTCTGTGCAGGCCAGTCAAGTTCTTCCACACCGATTTCGACAAACCATTTCTGTTGGACCTCGATTTGTGCATGGGGGCATTGTTATGCTGAAACAGGAAAGGGCCTTCCCCAAACTGTTGCCACAAACTTGGAAGCACAGAATCGTCTAGAATGTCATTGTATGCTGTAGCGTTAAGGTTTCCCTTCCCTTCACTGTTCATGTGCTGACGTTGGAAGTGGAACTCGGAAGTGAATGTTGCAAACGAGGACAGACGATTTTTACACGCTACACAATTCAGCACTTAGCGGTCCTGTTCTGTGAGCTTGTGTGGCCTACCACTTCACGGCTGAGCCGTTGTTGCTCCTAGACATTTCCGCTTCACAATAACAGCACTTACAGTTGACCGGGGCAGCTCTAGCAGGGCAGAGATGTGACAAACTGACTTGTTGGAAAGGTGGCATCCTATGACGCTGCCACATTGAAAGTCACTGTGCTCTTCAGTACGGGCCATTCTACTGCCAATGTTTGTCTATGGAGATTGCATGGCTGTGTGCTCGATTTTATACACCTGTCAGCAACGGGTTTGGCTGAAATAGCCAAATCCACTAATTTGAAGGGGTGTCCACATGCTTTAGGCCATGTAGTGTATTTGGGGCAAATTCAACAGAACGCATCACGGAGTACCACTCTTCATATTTTCAAGCATGGTGGTGGCTGCATCATGTTATGGATATGCTTGTCATTGGGGGGGCCTAGTTACCGTTTTGACTGAAATCAACTTGAAAATATATGGCAAGACTTGAAAATGCTGTCTAGCAATGATCAACAACCAACTTGACAGAGCTTGAAGAATTTTCAAAATAATAATATGCTAATATTGTGTAATCCAGGTATGCAAAGCTCTTAGAGACTTACCTAGTAAGACTCACAGCTGTAATCACTGCCAGAGTTGATTCTAACATGTATTGACTCAGGGGTGTGAATAGTTATGTAAATGAAATATTTCTGCATTTCATTTTCAATAAATGAGTAAAAAATTCTAAAAACATGTTTTCACTGTCATTATGGGGTATTGTGTGTAGACGGGTGAGAAAAAAATAATAATTGTATTCATTTTGAATTCAGGCTGTGGAATAAGTCAAGGGGTATGAATACTGCAAGGCACTGTAGTGCCCCTAACCCCTCTCCATTCGTGGACTTCAGGAAACAGCAGGGGGAGTACCCCCCCCCCTTTTCCACATCGACGGGACAGCAGTGGAGAAGGTGGAAAGTTGTAAGTTCCTCGGCGTTCATATCACTGACAAACTGAAATGGTCCACCCACACAGACAGTGCGGTGAAGAAGGCGCAACAGCGTCTCTTCAAACTCAGGAGGCTGAAGAAATTTGGCCTGTCACCTAAAACCCTCACAAACTTTTACAGATGCACAATTGAGAGCATCCTGTCGGGCTATATCACCGCCTGGTATGGCAACTGCACCGCCCACAACCGCAGGGCTCTCCAGAGGGTGGTGCAGTCTGCACAACACATCACCGGGGGCAAACTACCTGCCCTCCAGGACACCTACAGCACCCGATGTCACAGTAAGGCCAAAAAGATAATCAAGGACAACTACCACCCGAGCCACTGCCTGTTCACCCCGCTATCATCCAGAAGGTGAGGTCAGTACAGGTGCATCAAAGCTGGGACCGAGAGACTGAAAAACAGCTTCTATCTCAAGGCCATCAGATTGTTAAACAGCCATCACTAGCACAGAGGCGCTGCTGCCTAAATACAGACTTGAAAATCGCTGGCCACTTTAATAAATGGAACACTAGTCACTTTAATAATGACACTTTAATCATGTTTACATATCTTGCATTACTTGTGGTCCAGTGTAGCTCAGTTGGTAGAGCATGGCGCTTGCAACGCCAGGGTTGTGGGTTCGATTCCCACGGGGGGCCAGTATGAAAATGTATGCACTCACTAACTGTAAGTCGCTCTGGATAAAAGCGTCTGCTAAATGACTAAAATGTCAAATGTACTTGTCTCATATGTATATACTTTATTCTATACTATCTATTGCATATGCCACAATGACATTGCTCATCCATATATTCTTATTCCATTCCTTAGATTTGTGTGTATTAGATATTTGTTGTGGAACTGTTAGATATTACTTGCTAGATATTACTGCACTGTCGGAACTAGAAGCACAAACATTACGCTACACTCGCAATAACATCTGCTAACCATGTGTATGTGACCAATACATTTGATTTGTATAGTGCCTCTAACCCCTCTCCATGTATAGTGTCTCTAACCCCTCTCCATGCACAGTGCATTCGGAAAGTATTCAGACCCTTGACTTTTTCCACTTTGTTACGTTACAGCCTTATTCTAAAATTGATTAAATACATTTTCTCTCATCAATCTACACACAATACCCCATAATGACAATGAGAACACAGGTTTTTAGACATTCTTGCAAATGTATTAAAACTAAAAAACAGAAATACCTTATTTACATAAGTATTCAGACCCTTTGCTATGAGACTCGAAATTGTGCTCAGGTGCATCCTGTTTCCATTGATCATCCTTGAGATGTTTCTACAACTGGATTGGAGTCCACCTGTGGTAAATTCAATTGATTGGACATGATTTGGAAAGGCACACATCTGTCTATATAAGGTCCCACAATTGTCAGAAAGGAAACCAAGCCATGAGGTTGAAGGAATTGTCCGTAGAGCTCCGAGACAGGATTGTGTCGAGGCACACGTCTGGGGAAGGGTACCAAAAACATTCTGCAGCATTGAAGGTTCCCAAGAACACAGTGGCCTCCATCATTCTTAAATGGAAGACGTTTGGAACCACCAAGACTCTTCCTTTGGCCGCCCGGCCAAACTGAGCAATCGGGGGAGAAGGGCCTTGGTCAGAAAGGTGACCAAGAACCCGATGGTCACACTGAATGAGCTCCAGAGTTCCTCTATGGAGATGGGAGAACCTTCCAGAAGGACAACCATCTCTGCAGCACTCCACAAATCAGGCCTTTATGGTAGAGTGGCCAGGCGGAAGCCACTCCTCAGTAAAAGGCACATGACAGCCCGCTTGGAGTTTGCCAAAAGGCACCTAAAGGACTCAGACCATGAGAAACAAGAATTTCTGGTCTGATGAAACCAAGATTGAACTCTTTGGCCTGAATACCAAGCGTCATGTCTGGAGGAAACCTGGCACCATCTCTACGGTGAAGCATGGGGGTGGCAGCATCATGCTGTGGGGATGTTTTTCAGCGGAAGGGACTGGGAGACTAGTCAGGATCGAGGGAAAGATGAACGGAGCAAAGTACAGAGAGACCCTTGATGAAAACCTGCTCCAGAGCACTCAGGACCTCAGACTGGGGCGAAGGTTAACCTTCCAACAGGACAAAGACCCTAAGCACACAGCCAAGACAACGCAGGAGTGGCTTTGGGACAAGTCTCTGAATGTCCTTGAATGGCCCAGTCAGAGCTCGGACTTGAACCCGATCAAACATCTCTGGAGAGACCTGAAAATAGCTGTGCAGCGACATTCCCCATCCAACCTGACAGAGCTTGAGAGGATCTCCAGAGAAGAATGGGAGAAACTCCCCAAATACAGGTGTGCCAAGCTTGTAGCGTCATACTCAAGAAGACTCGAGGCTGTAACCGCTGCCAAAGGTGCTTCAACAAAGTACTGAGTAAAGGGTCTGAATACTTATATAAATGTGATATTTCCGGGGTTTAAAAAACATAATATTTGGAATAAAGTCTAAAAACATTTTTTTATTTGAATAAAAATAGACAACAAATATAAATAAAATGTTTTTGCTTTGTCATTATGGGGTATTGTGTGTAGATTGATGAGGGAAAAAACAATGTAATCTATTTTAGAATAAGGCTGTAACGTAACAAAATGTGGAAAAGGTCAAGGGGTCTGAATACTTTCCGAATACACTGTATAGTGCCTCTAACCCCGCTCTCTGTATACTGCCTCTAAACTGAGGAGAGTCCACCTTAGGGCGGCCAAGGCAGCTCCAGGTTTTGAGCCCTCTAAATGTCAGTCTTTTCTGCTTTGACTGACAGCGCCCCGGGCCTCAGGACAGGAAGCAGATCTCACAGTCAAAGGATTCCACTTGGAAACAATAAATGCTTCTGGGTAGGGCCTTTAAACCCAATCCTTCTCACAGAGAAACAAGCCACAAACAAATACTCAAGCCTCCACATGTTTACAACACTGAAGATAGTGAGTGCGCAAAAAAAAAAAACTAAGAGACATGCGTAAAAACATGACAATTTCCACATAATAAGCTATTTTGTTTCCCACTCATGTGCAAAAAGAATGTGACCAAATGCTTCTGCCATGATGGTTTGTGGACAGCTGAAGCGGGGAGCACATGGAAAGTGATGCATTCACAAGCAGAGTGTCAGGAGAGGGGGACTGGCAGAAAAGCAGAGGGGGCCCTAGATCGTACCTGACCATTTGGTGATGAAAACTGTGTAGAGAGACAATGCATCATGCTCCCCACCCAACCCTACTGGCAATATATGACTTGTTTCAGGAAACTAGGCATATGTCGCGCATCACTACTTCACAGCAGAGGCATTTGATTCATGCAGGGTAGTAACGTTATGAGTTGGGATTATGGTTCATTGTTTAGCTAGCTAGCTACATGTCTAAACAAAAGACTCCGCTATGCAAGGTACCATTTCACTGTACCGTTTACAGCTTCTGTATCCTGTGCATGTGAAACTTTGATTTTATTTCATCAAAATAAGCTTTTAATTTGACACGTCAAATAACGCAATTCTATTATAGAATGTTGTGTATGCTGAATTTGCACGTGCAAGCCATGCGCCAGCACTACAATCAGTAGCACTGTCGAAGCTGTACGAAAAAGAAAGTCTGCAAACAAGCATCCGCCACGATGTGTTTACAATACCGCGTCGGTAATAAGGCATTATTTGTTCGACCGAATGGGAAAACGTCTGTGTGAGCATTTTAAGTAAGAGCAGGGTCAACAATGTTTGCAAATATCTTTGATACAGATGTTATTAGAAACTTCTGGGGTAACTAGCTAGCTTTAGCGTGGTACCCACCAATGCAAGCAGCCTGAAAACAATGACCAGTAGAAACTGCAGTCATTTTCAATATTCTTAACAATGATTTAGGAATCCATGTGAGTAAGTATTAGTTAGGGAGCCACTTGTTGTTCTCCTATGGAAATCGAACTTCAGTTCATGAAAATACCTAGCTAGCCAGCTACTTAACCTTGTTGCCCAAAGCTAACGTTATAAGAAGCCAACTAGCTTCATAATTATTAATTCATTTAATTCATTGATGCTTGACCGGACCAGGTTATGTGTTGTGAAGGTAGCCACAATAAGGATTAGGCACAATAGTGGAATTTGCGGCTCACCTTCAAAATAAAAGTCCCCCATTGAAATTACTATTGGTGGAATCATTCCACATTTAGACTAGATAATGTTAAACAAGGTTGGAGTGTTGGAATGTGGAACAATGAAATGGGGTATCAGTCTACTCAGTGACACCCACAGAACACAACTGTGAAGAGTTTATGCAAATATTAGCATCGTAGCTCTTATTGCAGGACTTTGGCTGTGGGAAATCACCTCCCCAGTCAGCCTATTGTGCGTATTGACATTCATATTGCACTGTACAGCCTTACTTGAGGATTTGGGATCAATGAAATGGGGTATCAGTCTACTCAGTACCCAAGTGCTTCTTTCCCCAAAGTCCTCCTCAGAGTTATCAGACTCCAAAACATCCAGGTTGTATTGTTTTTCCTCTGGAATAGTGTTCAATACACATAGTAGGTTGACTGGTACAATAAACGTGGCTCATTTCACAGTGGTTTCAGAGTCCCGTAATAAGAGCTATGACGCTAATGTTCTGTGGGTGTCACTGAGTAGACTGATACCCCATGTCATTGATCCACAATCCATAGGTAAGGCTGTACAGTGAAATAAGTATGTCCCCAATGCAATTCTAAAGTCTCATACATCCACAGTGTGATTTAAACAGATTTTTGTCAAATTAACAAATGATTGTCTTTAGTTGAATTTATATAACAACATTCCAACCTCGTTTAGCATGAACAATTCCATTCTGACACTATTTGTATTCATTTGGATCACTTTCAATTTATTTTGAAGGCGAACCGCAAATTCCACTGTTGTGGCTAATCCTTATTGTGTCTAGGTCCACATAGGTGGTCTGACCATCATTAATCAAATAAGAACTGTCTTATAAATTAGTGGTATTTTAGATTATGACACCTAGCTAGATAGCTAGCTAACTATAGCTACTGAAACAGATTGTCGTTTTGCTATGTTTTTGGGGAAGAACATTGTTTGCATCCATCAGCTAGCCAGCTTTTTTTATGACCAGCACTGTCCCAGAGCTTTGGGAAGTGTGTCTGGGCTCAAGTGTGGCAGAGGCAGGTGCACGAGACAAAACTTTACCAGCATCATAGCATATGTATCTGTGAATCGCTGTAACATATGAAATACGAGTGATAGATTACACTATGTTTAATAACTACATAAAACATTAATGAACGTGTTACATTTTTATGTGACGTACAGTCATATTCAGGTGCTGATTGGTCAACAAGCTTATTTGACGTGGAAAATAGTGTTATTTGACACGTCAAATAGCGTTATTTGGCAGTGTATCTTTTTTGACATGCAAAGACCCAAAAGGCATTCCATAAAAGGGATGGCTGGGGCTAAGGCTTAAGAGGGTGTGAACGATGCTGAATGGGTGTAAACAAAGAAGAGCTCTCCAGTACGGGTACCAAAACATTCAAGGGCCATTTTCTCAAAAGTGGGGTTACAAGTTTATCAACTTTCAAAGCAGAATTACTTTCCCATTGTTCCTCAACTGTAGTTAGTGTATGATATACAATCTTCTAGCTCTGAGTCTCTACTTTTATCCAATGTAAAAAACACAATTTCAAATTTTTGCTACCTAAGACCGAATCGAGCCGATCGGTCAACATACACTACCTTTCAAAAGTTTGGGTTCACTTATAAACTTCCTTGTTTTCGAAAGAAAAGCAATTTTTTGTCCATTAAAATAACATCAAATTGATCAGAAATACAGTGTAGACATTGTTAATGTTGTAAATGGCTATTGTAGCTGGAAACGGCAGATTTTTTATAATAATAATAAATAATTGGTCATTTAGCAGACGCTCTTATCCAGAGCGACTTACAGGAGCAATTAGGGTTAAGTGCCTTGCTCAAGGGCACATCGACAGATTTTTCACCTAGTCGGCTCGGGGATTAGAACCAGCGACCTTTCGGTTACTGGCACAACGCTCTTAACCACTAAGCTACCTGCCGCCTGTGGAATATCTACGTATGTGTACAGAGGCCCATTATCAGCAACCATCAGTCCTGTGTTCCAATGGCACGTTGTGTTTGCTAATCCAAGTTTATCATTTGAAAAGGCTAATTGATCATTAGAAAACCCTTTTGCAATTATGTTAGCACAGCTGAAAACTGTTGTGCTAATTAAAGAAGCAATAAAACTGGCCTTCTTGAGACTAATCAAATCAAATCAAATCAAATTTTATTGGTCACATGCGCCGAATACAACAGGTGCAGACATTACAGTGAAATGCTTACTTACAGCCCTTAACCAACAGTGCATTTATTTTAAACAAAAAAGTAAGAATAAAACAACAACAAAAAAGTGTTGAGAAAAAAAAAAGAGCAGAAGTAAAAAATAAAGTGACAGTAGGGAGGCTATATATACAATAGAATAAAGTGACAGTAGGGAGGCTATATATACAGGGGGGTACCGTTGCATAGTCAATGTGCGGGGGCACCGGCCAGTTGAGGCAGTTGAGGCAATATGTACATGTGGGTAGAGTTAAAGTGGCTATGCATAAATACTTAACAGAGTAGCAGCAGCGTAAAAAGGATGGGGTGGGGGGGCAGTGCAAATAGTCCGGGTAGCCATGATTAGCTGTTCAGGAGTCTTATGGCTTGGGGGTAGAAGCTGTTGAGAAGTCTTTTGGACCTAGACTTGGCACTCCGGTACCGCTTGCCGTGCGGTAGCAGAGAGAACAGTCTATGACTAGGGTGACTGGAGTCTTTGACAATTTTGAGGGCCTTCCTCTGACACCGCCTGGTATAGAGGTCCTGGATGGCAGGGAGCTTTGCCCCAGTGATGTACTGGGCCGTACGCACTACCCTCTGTAGTGCCTTGCGGTCAGAGGCCAAGCAGTTGCCATACCAGGCGGTGATGCAACCAGTCAGGATGCTCTCGATGGTGCAGCTGTAGAATTTTTTGAGGATCTGAGGACCCATGCCAAATCTTTTTAGTCTCCTGAGGGGGAATAGGCTTTGTCGTGCCCTCTTCACGACTGTCTTGGTGTGTTTGGACCATGATAGTTCGTTGGTGATGTGGACACCAAGGAACTTGAAGCTCTCAACTAGTTGAGTATCTGGAGCATCAGCAATTGTGGGTTCAATTACAGGCTCAAAATGGCCAGAAACAAATAACTTTCTTCTGAAACTCGTCAGTCTATTCTTGTTCTGAGAAATGAAGGCTATTCCATGCAAGAAATTGCCAAGAAACTGAAGATCTCGTACAACGCTGTGTACTACTCCATTCATAGAACAGCGCAAACTGTCTCTAACCAGAATAGAAAGAGGAGTGGGAGGCCCCAGTGCACAACTGAGCAAGAGGACAAATAGTAGGAGAGACCGGTGCCTCACAGGTCCTCAATTGGCAGCTTCATTAAATAGTACCCGCAAAACACCAGTCTCAACGTCAACAGTGAAGAGGCAACTCCGGGATGCTGACCTTCTAGGCAGAGTTGCAAAGAAAAAGCCATATCTCAGACTGCCCATCTTAATCTTTTCTTTTTATTGGCCAGTCTGAGATCCCGGAGTTGCCTCTTCACTGTTGACGTTGAGACTGGTGTTTTGCGGGTACTATTTAATGAAGCTGCCAGTTGAGGACCTGTGGGCACCAGTTTTATTGCTTCTTTAATCAGCACAACAGTTTTCAGCTATGCTAACATAATTGCAAAAGGGTTTTCTAATGATCAATTAGCCTTTTCAAATGATAAACTTGGATTAGCAAACACAACGTGCCATTGGAACACAGGACTGATGGTTGCTGATAATGGGCCTCTGTACGCATACATAGATATTCCATTAAAAAAATCAGCCGTTTCCAGCTACAATAGCCATTTACAACATTAACAATGTCTACACTGTATTTCTGATCAATTTGATGTTATTTTAATGGACACATTTTTTTCTTTTTCTTTCGAAAACAAAGAAATGTATAAGTGACCCTAACTTTTGAACAGTAGTGTATATCCTCCAATCTCTCTCATTCTAGCTGTAAGAAAATACACTGTTTTCTTAGAAACCATATCTCTTTGGTTTAGAAAGGGCTCCAAGTGGACTCATGGGTATTTCTCTACTTCATCATTTATAGTTTCTCTGGCAGTTAACTCTTCCCTCTGTGACAAAAAAATACATTTTCATTACAAAGGAGGAGGAGAGGATAGGAGCAGGAACTGCTAGCTATGTAGTGTAGTTGCCTGGGCCTGAGGCTACAGATGGGAGCCATTTGCTCCCTCCCTGTCTCAGTGTTGGGATAAACACAGCTCTGCCTAGTTTTATTTTAAGGCTTACTGCCCAAAAAAGACCCTCTTTCATAATTACTCTAATTATAATGCTGGGCTTTATTATATTCCATTTGCAGCACTCTACTTCCGATTCCTGAGTGTAAACATCCAAAACATTCCACCCACAAGTCCAGGCAGCCATTACAGTATTGGAATCCAGCCAAAATAAACATTTTTCAGGATTCTATTTCAGTGACTCTTTTCCCTTTTTTTCAGCTGAGCTTGTGCAACAAATAGGTAGCCTACGAAAAGGCAACCTAAAAGTTAGCTATCTGAGCTTTACAAGAATATAGAAGAGTAGATACTGAGAGCATACAGGGAAATGTCTCTGGGGTTACAAATGCAGCCATGTCAAGTTAGATCCAGTTAGGCTCATTACATTACATCGAATACAGGGAAATGGGAGGGGGCTACACAGACTACAAAGAGAAACTTCAAACACTGGAAAAGTCTCCAGATTATTGTACAGCTACAGAGACCAGAGGAATAAAAGCATTACAGGTAAAATGGAGTGATTGTCAAATAAAATAAAAAATCTGGACCATTGTTTATGTTGGTAACTACATCTCATCTTAAATCCATCTACTGATGTAAATTAATAATAAAAAATAACAGCATATGACCGATTTCAAAAAGGTCTGGGATAAGAGCCAGTAAAATATATTGTGGTTCATTTTGACTAGAAAACATGATCAAGAGAAATGTGACACACAAGAAGACATACATTTAGGTGATTGACTGGCGGCATATATATATATATTTTTTTTTAAAGAGGCCAGACAGGAGCCTTACCTTCATCTGGGATTGCAGGCCGGGCCTGGGCTGGTAAAATGTGGGCAAGCAAGGCCAGAACCACCAGCGTACTCCGCACCGCCAACATCCTGTGGGGGGCGCTACAGCTGTTGATTGCTCTGTGAATGGAATGCCATCTGGACCTCTGGGGCATCAGCACTGAGCCATTCACAGTGCCAACCTGGAGGAACAAAAACAAGGTGAAACTGTGCTCACAAATGAGGCATGCCAAACACAAATGCAAAGTTATGAGCCTTTGTTGAGAGCCTTGCATAAAACGAGAGCTGAGCTTTGAGAGTTAGAATGCTGAGGAAGAGTAGATGCTGAGCTGTGCTGAAACTGAAACACTCTCAGATGGATTTCTCACAAGGGATCTATTGCATTTCATGCCAAACAAACTCATTATTCATGTAAAGACTAACACTGCAAAATGGAGAATTAACAAGTTTAAATTGAATTAGCAGAGTTTAAATTGTGGGTTGATAAAACATCTATTTTTGGACAGTATGATTTTGAATTTCAATGAGCTGGGTGATTTGCATTTTTTGCAAGTGCAGATACTCCCAGTGTAATAAGAAAATACAAACAAAGCATGCATCAGATTGTTCAGGTATTACAAAACAAACAAGTGAAATTGTATTACATAGTTCTAAAGAAGTTAGAACAAAAGAAACAAGAGGCATGATATATTATCATGGTATGTATGTAATAGTATTACTACAGACAAAACCTAGGAGCCGAGATTCAAATGTTTCACTGCCAAACTCATACAGCTAGTCTAATTACACAGAGGAAAAAGGTTATGTTAACTCACATTGTAACAAAAAGTATTTCTATGCAACATAATCTTAAAAAAAACACCTTTCTTCACATTGTGTTGAATCCCTATAGGAATTTACCTTTTTGTTTCCTCTCTTCATTCTTCTTAATTGTATCCTCCTTGTTGTATTTTGGCAAGAAAGATGACTTTGTAACGATCATTGTTGCCTTTTTTTAGAACACGCTTATTTAAAGTTACTGGTTGTGAAGTTCACAACCAGTAACTTTAAATAAGCGTGTTCTAAAAAAAGGCAACAATGATCGTTACAAAGTCATCTTTCTTGCCAAAATACAACAAGGAGGATACAATTAAGAAGAATGAAGAGAGGAAACAAAAAGGTAAATTCCTATAGGGATTCATGAAAGACAACCGATAACTGGGCAGGCAGAGCTCATGTCATGGATGGGGGGGGTAATCCCAAGAGCATTGAGAGTATTGCTCCCCATGGCTGTGATGGCATACTGAAGCTGAGGACGTGTTGTAAGAAGGCACACTGCTGTGGGTGACCCTCACATGCACATCTGCTCGCCCCATCACCCTGCAGCATCTGGCCAGGGAGATTAACACTTGCCCCACACTCCCATAATCCCCCTTGAGGAATTTGTTAAAGGACCCCAAAACTCAGGGTTGTTATGTGACACCCCTGTAGAGAGGCCGCCAAGACATAATTTCCACACTTACAGATCTATCACCTAACAGTTGGTTTTGGCCCCAACCCCAACCCCCATTTGTTCTCATGCCTGTCAAGTGGTGTGAAACAAATGCTTGTTGTAGGGTGCAGGCTTCTGAGAACTAGCCTAATTGTTGCATGAAAACATTCATGAAGTAGGCTATACACAATGAATTTACATTTTGTCCAAAGTATCAAGCATTAAAAGACAAATATGGAAATATAATAATCTCTGGAATGAAATCAGCAATAAAAGTGAGGAGATATAGGATGAGTCAGTGCATGTGGTAACAACATAGTCTACATAGTTCACTTATGTAAAAGCAGGTTGGTGTGATCCAGATTCTACAGATCCAAGCAATCATAAAAAAAAGAAATGGGAAACATCCAGTGGAGGTCAGGTCATCCCCATGACTCTACAGAGGAATAATGTTCGGTCAATTCTGATGTTCTTCATGAGTGTTCTCCACTTAAACATGTTCCCTGTACTGTCATCTAAAGAAATTCAATTTCACTTTCCAAGAATGGCTCAGTGTTCCAGCAGCTGAGTTGGATCAGAGGGTCTTGGGGGATAAAGGAGCTTGGTCATCACAGGCCCGTAAGCAGTGAGTCAGTGCCTGGTCAGGCTCCAAGAATTCACTTCAGCTGCCAGACGGAAGTCCACACAGCCAACCACGTTCCCCGAGCGCGACCACTACACAACCATTTAGACAATGTTTCATGATGAGGGAACAAATGGTGTCTTCGGGGAGTGAAGTATGATGCAACGCCCACTTCCAAGTTTGTCAAGTGCAACCTGTGTTTTTACTGTAGGCCTATGCTAAAAACATACCGCACAAGACACACACTAATGGTGAGTGAATGTTTTCTGAATATTACATAATCAGAAAAACCTATCACCTTTGATGGTTATTTTTAAGTTCACATAAAAGGGATCATTGACAAGAATAAACAGTGTTCAGGCCTATCTTGTGGTCCACTAGTCTTTTCCGGGACATGACAAGACGTTTTGAGAAAAGCACACAAAATAGGAACAAGACATTCAGTTAATTTATTCTCAGCATTTCCTACAACTAAGGAGAATAACAGAGACTGAGTCACTGCCATATTATGCATTGTGAGTCTGCAGCAAAGCTTGACTGATGTAGAAATATCCTCCTCATCTCATGGATGTTGTGCACAAAGAGGGTTTGGAAATAAATAGGTACAAAAGATGTAGTCTCTGACAGTTGACACTAACATTGTTTTTATGTGTCCTTGAAATGGGACCCTAAGGCTGTTTCAATACAATTACACTAAAAGTAAGTAGACATTCATCCAAGTACACAAAAACATTTTCTTCCAAACAATAGCTGTGGGGTCACTGCTCATCGTGTCACATAGCCCAAATAGCCTCTACCTAATTTACAATCACACTGAGCCACACTAGTTGAGACAGAGATGAGCTGGTGGATCAATGAGCAATGAAGTTCACAGAAGAGTGGTGAGTTTAGCAAAAACAACATTTTTATAGAGAGACACAGACATCTGAGAATTTAAATGTGAAGTTATTAACAAATCAGAATGCTCTGCCTTCACATTGATAACGAAAAGTTACGGTGCATTTATTTTCCTTCCCTCCCAAACATGCAGAGACATGGTATTAGCCCAAGCATGGCCCCGTAATTACTGTTCACTGTATCCATCCATGCATGCATAAAATTCCTTCTGTAGTCCAACTTCACTCATTTCTCCACTCCCAGAGCCAGTCTACTGTGCTGAGGCACCAAGCTTCTCTCCATGGAGGTTCAAGTTTTCAAGTTTTATTAGTCCTATGTACATAAAGAACAAAAAAATAACAATAGGACAGCACTCCGGTGAATAAACTTAACTGAACAGATTTGTATTGCCGCACAAATGTTTTGGGTATGAGCCCTTCTTCAGCATGCATAGGAGGCAATGTTATGACAACAATACAGGCCACACACAGGTGGGCATAATTATAGATTCACAATGTCAGTATTAGGCCAATCAAGAGATCCCAGCAGAGGGAGCTGTGGGGGAAACATGAAAACATATATACACATAAACACACAATAAAGATACAGTACATTATGATGTCATAGCCTATAGGAGGGTACATTTACATTTACATTTTAGTCATTTAGCAGACGCTCTTATCCAGAGCGACTTACAGTTAGTGAATACATTTTTTTTATACTGGCCCCCCGTGGGAATCGAACCCACAACCCTGGCGTTGCAAACGCCATGCTCTATCAACTGAGCTACATCCCTGCCGGCCATTCCCTCCCCTACCCTGGACAACGCTGGGCCAATTGTGCGCCGCCCATGAGTCTCCCGGTCGCGGCCGGCTGCGACAGAGCCTGGATTCGAACCAGGATCTCTAGTGGCACAGTTAGCACTGCGATGCAGTGCCTTAGACCACTGCGCCACTCAGGAGAGTTGTATTCGGTCTACATATTTATAGCCTTCTACAAAATAACAAGAAAATGAATATTACTCATTGAGACCTGCTGGGGCAAGATTGCCCAAGTGGTCTATCCAATATGTCTCTCTTTGGAGAAGTAATTTATCCCAATCTCCTCCCCTACGCCACGTATTCTTCACCAATTCAATGCCCACACAACGCAAGGCACTTAGTTCATGATTATGGCTATTGAAATGCCTGGCAACAGGTGATTTTTCATCGTGGTTGCAAATGGAGCTCTTATGCTACAAAACGTATCTTAAGTTCACGTTTGGTCTTACCCACATAATAAAAATAGAAGATCAAATCAAATGTGTTTGTCACATGCGCCGAATACAACAGGTATCAACTTTACTGTGAAATGCATACTTACGAGCCCTTGCCCAACAATGCAGAGTTCAAAAAAAGGAAATATTTACACAATAAAATAACAATAACAGGGCTATATACAAGGAGTACCGGTACGGAGTCAATGTGCAGGGGTACGAGGCAATTTAAGTAATATGTACATTTAGGTAGGGGTAAAAGTGACTACGCAATCAGGATAGACAGAGTAGCAGCAGCGTATGTGAAGAGTGTGAAAGTGTGTCTACATGTATGTGAGAGTGTGTTTGGCGTCAATATGCATGTGTGTGTTGTGTGTTTGAGCGTATGTGTGTGTGAGCGTGTGTGTGTTGGTTTAATATGTGTGAGTGTGTGGGTAGAGTCAGGAGAGTGTGCATAGAGCCAGTTCAAAAGAGTCAATGCAAAAAGAGGGGGTCAATGCAAATAGTCAGGGTAACCATTTGATTAACTGTTCAGCAGTCTAATGGCTTGGGGGTAGAAGCTGTTCAGGAGCCTTTCGGTCCCCAGACTAAGCACTCTGGTACCACTTGCCATGCGGTAGCAGACAGAACAGCCCATGAATTGGGTGGCTGGAGTCTGAACAGTTTTAGGGCCTTCCTCTGACACCGCCTGGTATTGAGGTCCTGGATGGCAGGGAGCGCCTTGCAGTTGGATGCCAAGCAGTTGCCATTCCAAGTGGTGATGCAGCCAGTCAAGATGCTCTCAATGGTGCAGCTGTAGAACTTTGAGGATCTGAGGGCCCATGACAAATTCTTTCAGCCTCCTGAGGGGGAAGAGGCATAGTCTCGCCCTCTTCATGACTGTGTTTGGACCATGATAGGTCCTTAGTGATGTGGACACAGAGGAACTTGAAGCTCTCGACCCGCTCCACTACAGGAC